TAAGTGGCAACTCCAATTAAAATCACAAAACCATGTAGCTACCAAGTTGCCATGCAATCATGCGGCCAAAACTTGATCAAGTTCCCCAAATACAATTTGGTTTCTAAAACAGTATTAGCCTTGCATCATGGCTACGGCCAGTGCAACATTGCAATTTTTTTTTTCAACAACGCTGCTCTGGCCCAAAAGATTCCTTTCAGCGTTGCATCCTTACTTGTCCAAGCTGCTGCCGCCGAATCTCTTCTCCTTTTCTTTTATTATAAATAAGCTGGCCAATCAAAACTGTGCTAGGAATCCTATTTCACTATGTCTCAAAACTCCCGCAACGCTGCTTTCTTAACGAGAATACTTTTTCTTTTCAAACAATTCTGATTTTCTTCTTTTCCTCCAACACTGCGGCAGGGATACCAATGCCCGCTTGGACTCCTTTTCCTTTCACAATGCTGCAACCAAAGAACTAACTCACCCAACAACGTTGCTCCACCCCTAGATACTGGCAAGTTGTGTGGCCTCGCAACACCGTTTTTGTCCCAAACAACTTTGATTTCCTTCTTCTTTCTCCATCAACGCTGCTGTTTTGGCGGTATTTTGTTTATTATTTTTTTTTCTTTTTCCCCAATAACCACGCCATCCTTCCTTGCAGCGTTGCTTCATCACAAACGGTGGCGTCTATTTTTTTGTTTTATATTTTTTTTTTACTTGCCACCGACGCTGCAACAAGCACTTCAGGGCTGTTTGCGGGCAGCGCTGATAACCTTTTATTTTTTTTATTATTTTTTTGTTTTTTCCTCCACCAGCGAGCAGCGCTGCCTCTATTAAAATTTTTTTTTCATGGCTGTTGGAAACAGCGGCACGGCAGCGCTGAGAACCCTTTAATTTTTTTTTATTTATCAGGGCTGTTTGGCTTTTTTTTTTTCCTGGGCTGTTGGGAACAGCCGCAGGGTTGGGAGTCTCTTTCTTTCTTTCTTTTTTTTTTTAATCAGGGCTGTTAGCACAGCGGCAGCGCTGAGAGCTTTTTTCCCATTTTTTTTATTCCGCCAGTGCTGTTGGGAAACAGCGGCAGTGCTGCAGAATTTTTTTTTTATTTTCCTCTTTTCCGCCAGAGCTGTTTCAGCGGCAGAGCTACAATTTTTTTTTACAGCATTGTGTATCTTTCCCTATCTTCCAACGATGTTGAGAAAAGAGAACAACACCGCTTGTTATTTTGAACTATTGCCAACGATATTGTTGCTTCTTCTTAGCAATGCCGCTTGATTATATTATATAACATTTTCTCTATAACATATTAGGTGGCCTACTTTAGCCACGTTATTTATTAACAGTTAAATAAGAAACAAACTAGACTTTGGCATAAACCATCATGCCAAAAGTCCACACCCACTGCCAACTCCATCGATCAAACCAAACAAGCCATCCGTAAAGTCCATGATTCATCACAGCTGGCTTCACACGAGTTGGTTTTGATGTTTTGGAATCAATGTTGGCTTGCAAATCCCTAGTTCGTCTAGCTCGAACATCTTTGTTCGAAACTCCACGATCCTGATTTGGCCTAATCTTAACTTCGCGGAATGGAAAACCATAAGCATTGTTGGCTCTAGACAGGACATTCTCGTTTTTTGGCACCTTTGTCTTGCCAATTCGACCATGCGACATCGCTTGCCTAGACTGGTCTAGTCTTGTCAGCTTCGCACTCTCACCATGTTGTTGGTAGTATGAGTGCCGAGACTTTTCATCAACAGGTACGTTGGTATTTTGCTTATCACGAACATGACTTTCGCACCTATCACACAACAACGTTGTCCCTTTTAAAATTCCACGTGAGTTTGGAGTTTGTTTGGCATTGGCCTTGCCCCCCAGACCACCACTCATGGATTTGTTCCCAGCCCGCACTGGTGTGGCAACCCCATGTCGGGTTTGATCGAACTTGCCCCCCTCTCTACTCAGTGGAGGTTTTGGGGACAATTTACATAGAGGATTTTGTTGATTCATGCCAACTTTGGTGGCATTGGATTTTTTCACGTGGCTACCACCCCCACACTGCAAAGTTTTTGCTGCTATCCTTGTTTGAATTTTCCTAGAATAGGACAGATTTGGCAAACTTATTTTCCACTTGCGATATTGTTTTTCCATCAACCGACCATGCGATGGGATCTCATGCCCCCCTAGCGGCTTAGATTGAACACCATTGCGATGTTGCTTAGACAACCCATCATACGTGAGCTTGCTATGCTCGACGCGATTGTAACCAGGTTCTCGACCCTGGCTCTTGTTTTCAATCTTAATAGAAGTAAGTCGATACTGACTTCTTTGTAGTGGCTTTTGCAAGCCATTTCCAATTGGTGTGTCCTTTAAAACAACGTTGTTCACAGGAAAGAACACATTGGATTCACTCACTTCTGGCAACAATGTTGTAGCCATCGATGATGGAGTTTGGTTGACATTAGCTATTCGACCAACCCTCGCATCCTCACACACAACAGACATGGTTCGAGAAAACACATCAAAATCATACACGGCTCCACGTATTGACATATTAAAATCAGAAACAGAGTCGTCCAACTTATCAAACCATTGATCTATGTTTTTTTCAAGATTATCCATTTTTTTATCAAGAGAAGTTAAAATTAGATTTACCTGTTGTCTATCTCTGCTGAGTTCAGCCACTACTTGGCGGAGTATGCGCAGTATCTCACCCTGATCGGAGACTCGTGCCACTGATTGCACCTCCGCTCCAGCGTTGTTGCCTGAGCCGCCAACAACATCGTCAATCTCGATGTTGATCATTTGAGCCTCCGCCATGGATCCTTGTCGAAGACCACAATCTTCTTTTCCTCGTCGCAGAGCCATGTCAAACACACGTGTCCCACTGGGCGTGCCAAACTGTTTCCTCGGAAAAACCAAATGCCACCGCCGGTGCCGAATTCGTTCCCGGCGATGTTGATTTAATATTTCGCGGTGGAAACTCTTGCGGTGCCGATTGAACGGATGCACCACTATCTTCTGACCAAATACCACCGCCGGCGTGCCAAACGACGATGTTGATTTGATCGAATTGATGCGCCACTGACTTCTAATCAAGACGACTGTGACTACGGTTCGCACCTCTCCAAACTACGTTCGAACGAGGGTGTTTGAGTTTTTGAGGAATCTACGTTATGACTACTCCTATGGAGATTCCTGTGGAGAGCTCCGCGACTACGACTAAGACTACAACTATGGAGATCCTTCCTGGAAGGAGAGCTCCGCGAAGGAGTTACAGAGAAAAGGTAAAGTTTTGACAGAGTTGTTCTGTGTTGATTTTGGTTGTCCCCTTCTCTCTCCTTGCTCCACTGCTTTTATTCGAAAAACTGCTTCGTAGTCTTCACGCTCGGTGGAACCGCTTCTTCAACTGCTCCGTTGTGAAATCCCACGTGTCTCAACCGCTTCGCTCCTCAAACTGCTTCGCGTGAACTTTACGTGAGTTGTTTTCATGATCCCGCGATGTCGTTTCCTTTCCCAAACAGCTCCGCTTGATTCTACCCGCGACATCGTTTTTTATTTAAACACTGTCGTTTGCTAATCCGCGGTACCGTTGAGCTTACTCGCGGTACCGTTTTGAATTAAACGAAACCGCTGATATAGCCAAAAAATATTAATCCATGGAACCGCCGCAGTCGGCGTTCGCATTGGGCCGGGTGAATTTTGGTCACTTGCCCGACATAATTTTTAATTGATCGGTACCGCTTACCAGGCTCTCGTGGCACCGTTTTTAAATCCGCGGTACAGATTTTCCCCTTCCAACAAGGAATAAAAATAATAATTAAATAATCAAAACTCCTCCTCCAACCCCATTAAACGCGCGGCCCTTTTTTATTTTCGGCAAGCGGTGTCGTTTCCAGTGTTGCGGTACCGCTGGGCTTACTCGCGGTACCGTTTATTGTTATCCGCGGCGTCGTTGGGTTTATTCGCGGTGCCGTTTTTAGCCAAACGACACCGTTTCCCAGTCTCGCGATGCCGTCGAGCTTTGAGGTTCGCGGCACCGTTTTATCTCTTCGCGGCATTGCTTGACTCCAAACAGTGTTGTTACTCTCCTCCTCCGAAAAGGAAAAAATAAAATAAAAAACATTCCTTGTCCAACAGCAACCCATGTCCTGCATATGACTCACACATGGTCTGCAACCAATGTCGTTTCAAGTATCGCGGTACCGCCGAGCCTCTTCGCGGTCTCGCTTCAATTCTCCGCGGTATTGCTCGACTCCAAACGACATCCTTTTGGCCATGCGATATCGAATTAAATGCCGAGACTCATTCGGCATTGAATTTAGGCCAAAAAATATTTTAGGTGTAAACATAATCAAACATGGGAAGAGAAAATAATACTACTCAAACAAGCAAAGCAATACAACAGAACTATACCACCAGAAAAACAATCTTTCTACACAAAGCAAGCTACACTCTAAAGAGTTCCAGCAATGGAATGGCGTATGAAGTAGAGAATGCTGAAACACGCCGCCGACGCCGCCGCATAGTCTTCTTCATCGACACCGGGACGGTGTTCGTCCTCTTGAGATGCGGAGGAGACTTCTTTCCAATAGACCTTGGTGCCGTTCCTGAAGATGGGTTCTTTCAGTTTGACGTATCGCCGCCGATTCAAGCTTGCCGGATGTGGCGGCAGTACGTCCTTCAGAGCCACCAGCTTCGGCTGGGTCCCGTCGACCTTGTTCATTGTGTGGTGTGGGGGAGTGTCGCACTCGCAGCAGTACTAAGGAATCTCCGACGACAAAAAGGGAACGTCGCCGCCACCGGGAAATTCCCTTGGTTGATATTTGGAAATTGTTATGCTGAGGGGAATATGGAAATGGTTTATTTATATACAACCAACATTTTCTTACTTGTTTCGGAAAAGGAAAGAAGCTTGTTATTAATCTCTTCCCGTTCTCCATTTTTTCCGATTAGGATTCGGACTTTCCTTTTTCCCGACTAGGATTCGGACTTTGACAAATATTCCACAACTTCAGATAAGCTCCAAATTAATAATAAATCAATTATAACCCTGAGACAGAAAAGAAGATCCTATGTCAAATCCATGACTGTTTTACCACACAAGCTCACATGAACCAAGTGAAATTAGGAATGCTCGAGTCCTAATAATAATCAAAACATGCATACAAACTAGTTTATGAATGGATCAACAATTCATGAATCTTTTGTCTTCCGTTGTTACAAATTCTCATGGTACAGTGAAGTTCTGATCTACTCTGTGAATGAGAACCAAGTTTGGTCAACGACCCTGCATATCCAGGGTCTCATCCAGACGTTTCAGCCTCTCTAGTCCGTCGCTCATTAGAAATCGAATAGTCTGCCTGTCGTTGCAGTTCCAGTTGTTCTCCATCTCCTGCCTAAACGTTTGCTTCAGTTCATCTACAATGAGTCGTCATCGTTGTTTTAGAGGTGCAGCTGAACGAATGTACTGGATACAACTCTATAAGCTAGGTTAAGCTTCAGCTTCATAACTCACAAAATTGAAAGTCCAAATGACAGCATAAGCAGATTTCTGCTTCGATACTGTAAAACTGAATGCGGAACTCAGCTAGAGAAGCAATACTGAAAGTTCATATCAATTACGGGTTTCATATTGAGAAACTCAGAAGTATCTAATACTGAATGCTAACGAGAAAATCTACCAGAAGGAATGCAGAAAGGCAATACCAACCACTCCAGCGAAACGTCGGAACCCAACTAGGATCCAGTGCTGAAAGTTGATATCAATTACTGCTTCCATAATTCAGAAGGCTCAGAATCTCTTGCAACTAGAGGCTTTGCTACTTATGAAGACACCTTATTCAATTCGGCTAAAAGGTAAATCCCCCGTTTCGAAATCCAGAACAAAACTTGTGAAGAACATATAAGAGCTAGAAGTTTATAAGTTATAGTTCATCTACCAAAAAGGGGGTTCACTGGCATATTCACACTGCAGGGATAAATGAAGCTAAACTATTGCTCTTTCCACTACATTATCTAAGTAACCACTCAACAGGAGTTCAAGAAAGCTAAATCCCCTTTGACCCAATGCTACAGATAGTTGTAAAGTAATGATCAACTTCATCTCGTGAACCCTAATTACAGAAAACTTCGACTATCCTCAGAATAATGTTATGTAGGGATTCACTAAAGAATTAATAACCTAGAACCTTCAATGAAAACAACTATAACAAATCTCAAAAAAGATTCAGAATTCGAAGAGCAATTCCAACAGCAAATGAAAACCTGTTTACACCTAAAATATTTTTGGCCTAAATTCAATGTCGTAATAATGACTCCCGGCATTTAACTCGATATCGCATGGCCAAAACGATGTCGTGTGGAGTCGAACAATACCGCGGAGAATTTAAGCGAGACCGCGAAGAGGCTCGGCGGTACCGCGGTTCTTGAAACGACATTGGTTGCAGACCATGTGTGAGTCATGCGCAGGACATGTGTTGTTGTTGGACAAGGAATGTTTTTTATTTTATTTTTTCCTTGTCGGAGGAGGAGAGTAACAGCACCGTTTGGAGTCAAGCAATGCCGCGAAGAGATAAAACGGTACCGCAAGAAATCTCAACGGTACCGCAACGCTGGAAACGACACCGCTTGCCGAAAATAAAAAAAGAGGGCCGTGTGTTTAATGGGGTTGAAGGAGGAGTCTTTAATTGTTTAATTATTATTTTTTATTCCTTGTGAGAAGCGGCACCGCGGGGAGTTAAAACGGTACCGCGAAACAGAAAATCGGTGCCGCGAGGAAGCTCGGCGGTACCGCGGAACTGGAGAGGGGCCGCGCAGTGTAGGTGTTGGGGAAGGAGTTTTGTTTATAATTAATTAATATTTTTATTCCTTGTTGGGAGGGGAAAATCGGTACCGCATGGAGACAAGCGGTATCGCGGAGAGTTAAAACGGTACCGCGAGTAGGCCCAACGGTACCGCGGATTAGCAAACGACAGTGTTTAATAATAAACAGTGTCGCGGAAGAAAAAACAAACGGAGCTGGTTGGGAAAGAAAACGACACCGCAAGGCTGGAAGCGGAGTCGTTTAATGTTAAAACGATGCCGCGGGTAGAATCAAGCGGTGCTGCTCAGTTAAAAACGACACCGTTTAAAGCATCAACAACGCCGCAGTATCACTAAGCGGTGTCGTTTAGTTAAAAACCATACCACAATGGTTTGGATTTTGGCGAGGCCTGGCAAGCACAACGGTGCCGTTTGGTTGAAAAAGAAACAATGTCGCGGAATGGAAAACGACATTGTTTGTCAGCATCGATTAGTGAAAGGTGATGCTGCGGTATTGGTGAAACGACATCGTTGCATGGACAAGGTTGTAGGATTTGGCTCAATGTCGTTTCGCCAAGTTTCTGCAAACAGGAGCGGTTTCGATGGCACGTGATTTTTACGCAAAGCAGAAAGAGGAGATCAAGGCAGTTGAGACACGTGGGATTTCACAACGGAGCAGTTGAGGAAGCGGTTCCACCGAGCGTGAAGGCTACAAAGCAGTTTTTCGAATAAAAGCAGTGGAGCAAGGAGAGAGAGGAGGGACAACCAAATCAACACAGATCAACACTGTTCAAACTTTACCTTTTCTCTGTAACTCCTTCGCGGAGCTCTCCTTCCAGGAAGGATCTCCATAGTTGTAGTCTTAGTCGTAGTCGCGGAGCTCTCCACAGGAATCTCCATAGGAGTAGCGGTAGCGTAGATTCCTCAAAAACTCAAACACCCTCGTTCGAACGTAGTTTGGAGAGGTGCGAACAGTAGTAACGGTCGTTCTTGGTTAGAAGTCAGAGGTGCATCGATCAAATCAACACCGACATTCAGCGGTGGATATTTGACGGTCACGTTGATTTCATCATTTAGAGGTGCATCGATCAAATCAACGGCGCCGACATTCGGCGGCGGATATTTGACGGTCGTCTCGATTCAGCTATCAGCGGTGCATTCGATCAACGGCACCGCAAGAGTTTCCATCGCGAAACATCGAATCAACATCGCCGGAAACGAATTCGGCACCGGCGGTGGCATTTGGTTTTTCCGAGGAAACAAAACCGATATAGCTTAATTATACCTTTAGCACCATCAGGTGCTCTTTGAACGACCCGGAGCGCTTGCCTGTACAGCTTCAGCACTCGAGATCGAACGATGAATTCCTGCAGATCCAAGGCACGACCCATGGCTGATTCCCTCACTCAAAAAGAAGCCTCCATAAAGTGCTACCCTCAAATCCAGCTCTATACAGGACTTCTGCAATGAAAGAATTGAGAAATCTGAAAGCCTCCATTATTCAAATTCCTAGTTTCTGTGTTCAGGTAAATTCGACAGAGCGTCCATTTGCTTGATTCAGCATTCTTCAATGTGCTCGATGAAATCGTTGAGTTAATAGGAAACGCAGCGTGTGAACGTACCTTGCAGAATAGAGAGGGAAGGGGAAGAGGAAATTGTGACCAGCGGAATTAGGGATTTGATTCGATTTGAACGGCTGGTGAAGGGGAGAGGAGGAACCGACGGTGGCTGGCTCCGGCGAGCTGCTTGGTAAGTAATGCCCAATGAATAGAGTGGGAAGTGGGAAAAAGAAAAAAAGTAGTATAACAAAAAGTCAAAAACCAACAGACCGAAAAAGCGCCCATGCGATGTGATTTTGAGACGCTGACTGTTATCGCCTGTCGGGCTGTGTTTTTTCAGCTCAAGACGACGAGACGTAGTATAATCCATTCTGGCAGGCCTAATTGGTGAGTCTGTGTAACTGGGCTTTGCCCATTGAAATTAATATGTGCAAAGCCTACTATTGCAAAGAAAATATTAACTATTGAAAGAATATGAACTAGCCTAAAATTCATGGATTTTTTTTTAAAAGGATCCATTAAGTAGACAAACGGGACAAAGCCCAACGGAAAGATACAAGCTTACAACTAGGTAAGGGAAAAAAATCCAAACAGGCCCATGCAAAGACCAGCCTAGGACAAAAGCCCTAAACACAAATTGGACAAAATTCCCAAAACCCTAGCCACAAGCAACAAGCAAGAACCCCTGGAAACTCCCACCGTCGTTGGCTGCCACACACACAATCCAAATCCCAGCAAACCCAACCATGGACGATGAAACAACACCAGCGCGAGGACGGAAAAGGTGGAGCAAACCAACCCAGAAGGAGGAACGGTCAAAGAACGAACACCCGCTTCACACCATTCCTCGCTGGATCCAACGCATCAACACCTTGACGCCAACACGAAACGATCGAGGAAACATAAACCGAAGGGCGGCAGTAGAGAAACCAGGGGAGAAATTTCTGTCTTCAAGGTCTTCCAACCGAGTCCAAGCCGACGGTTATAGCATCTCCGAGACACTGAGATATACTAGGTGAAACATATAGGAGGTAGACGAGTGATAGAAAGGGGAGAAGACAAGCTGGAAAAGAGAACAGATCCCGCCTCCTTTTGTCTCTTAGAAGTAGAGCATCTCCAAAACTGATAATCAGAGCAGAGGAAGAGAAGTCGAACCCACAAAGGGAGCAGGAAAAGAACCCACAAAGGGAGGAACAAGAAACCACAAAGAGAAAGTGAAGGGGAAACACCAAAACGTCCCAAAGAAGATCTAAAAGATCAACTTGAGGGGAATAAGACAAGCCCATCACGAACAGAAAAAGTAGGAGAAAAACACATAGGGCCATCGTTGGCATCTTGGAGGCGCCGGCGACAGCCCCTTCAATTTTCAGATCTGGAAAGTGTAGAGAGAAGGAAGAGAAATTCAAACTAAGAGAGAGAGAGAGAGATTATCTTATGTTAAATAGTAGAGTTGGAATTAGGAATGACAATTTGAATTCGCTTTGTCGGGTATTATCCGACTTTATCTGTGATGGAGTGGGTATTACTCGACCCGTAGTAGTGTGGGACGAGGCATATATATCTTCTTTTTATTCGTTCCACTCCAGCCTAGTTATTCTGCTAATGAAGATTCGTTAGTATATACTAACTAATATTCAAAATGTATGAACTAATATCTAATTCTGCTAAGTATCTAGATAGCATAGACTAGTATTCAAAACATCACAAACTAGTATCCACATAGCATATACCAACTAATATTGACAATTAACCAACTAGTATTCAATATGGATATTCTTACGGATTATCTGGATACTCTTATGTGTTATCTGGATACTAATTATGTGTTGTTTGGATACTAACTGTGTTGTCTAGATATTAGTTTGTGAATGTGGGATAATAGTTGATTCATGGTGGATATAAGTTAGCAAACTTTGAATACTAGTCTGTGCTCTCTAGATACTTTAGTACTTGGATACTAGTTCATGTATTTTGGATATCAGATAGTATCTGCTAACGAATCTTCAAGTTAGCATATTAACTTTCCCCGTTCCACTCTGCCACAATTCGTTTTTCGCTCATTCTATTTCTATTTCTTGCATATTTATGGCAAAGGCTAGTGTACGTTGTACGCATGTGTTCACACTTGATTTTTGCACTTCAATATATTTCGTTGAATTAGAGCTGCCGGTTATTATTTATTAGATTAAATGAATCTTGTTGCTTAGGTTAGAGAATTAGGGATTGTGGTTCATCCATTAGAGGTTAGGGCATAGTATCATGACCAAAACTCCAGTATAGTAAATCCGCACTTGGTGCTGGACATGTATGGATATTAAGATACCTGACCTCCTCATTTGCCATCACTAATTGGAATGGATAGCTAGTTGGAATGGATAGAAGAGGTTTGTGGTGGAAAATTGTTTTTGGAAAGAAGACCTACGATACAATATAATTCACAAACACATTTTATTATTATTGTAAAGGTGCTTAATGGGCAATAACTAGTAAGCCATTTTTTGTCTTCACTAATAAATCATAAAATTATGATAATGAGGGGGTCGTTTGGTTTCTTCAATCGTGATCAATACGAAGATTACGTTATAAGTATTGTGTGCTTTTTTCTCTCATTTAGCGAGAGTCTTGGAGCTAGGGTTCCGACTGTTCTGTCTTAGGTTTTTCAACCTCTAGGTTGACGGCGGATTGCTATCAATCTCTGAACTTAGTTTTCCTTGTGTCATAGATTGTTCTTGAGTGCTTAGAGAGTTGGATTGGTATCTGCCTTCTGCGATACAAAATCCTGAGTGAGAGTTTCCCAGTCGTTTCCCTTTCAAACTCTAAGGGTCTCGTCTTTGGATCCCTTACCTGCCTCAAGCGGTATAGGGGGAGAGATTGATCTGTTTATACTACGTTCTGTTGGTTTTTGGAACACGTTCCTTATGGAGAAAGATAAACCTAACAACGAGGCTACAAAGAAGGGGGATCTATCAACCGAAAAGTCAACGGAATCTCAAACGAATGAGGGTTTAGCACAGAGCCTTGAGAACCAGATAGAGATGATAAAATTGGTGGATGATGACGGGTTGGTTGTGGAAGACGAAGATATCGATTCAGCAATGCTCCAAGCTGTCAGCCTTCTAGGGCTTGTTGGTAGAGTTGTGTCTCCCAAGAACCTAAACCTGAAATCAATGAAAGTAGCTTTGTCAAAGGCCTGGAATCTACAACAAAATTTTCAGATATCAGAAGCAGGAGATCAGCTGCTAGGGTTTCAGTTTATGAACAGAGGAGATAGAGACAAGGTGCTCCAGGGTGAACCTTGGCATTTTGATAACAATCTAATTACTTTCAAGAAAGCATATGCCTTTCAGCAACCAAAAGTGGAGGATTTTCATACTATGGAGATATGGATCCAAATCCATAATCTCCCAGCTGCATTGAGAACAAACGAGATGATACACAAGATTGGAGCAAAGTTTGGTACACTGATTTGGACTGACAGTAGAAGAGAAAACGTCTGGAACGATGTGCTGAGAATCAGGATAGGGAAGGACATTTGAACACCCTTAAAGGGGGAACTCAAACTCAACCTCAAAGGAGTGATATAGACTTATGAAGTGAAGTATGAAAAGCTCCCCATGTACTGTTTTTCTTGTGGTTTAATTGGACATCCAAAACTCCACTGTCCTAATCCACCACCTGATGGAAAAGACCTAGTTGGTCCTGAGCTACGGGTGAATATAACTAAGATCAAGCATTGGCAAAGTAAACTTGAGCAAGAAGAGTCAGGGGAATTATGGCAAGCTCTACGAGCAAAATTTGATAGGGAAGCGGTCACAACTAGAATGAAAATTGATGAGGAAAAGTACAAAAGTGATTGCAGGATACAGATTAGAGGCACTATAACGAAGAATACTAATTTAGAAAGCGGAAAGGGACATAGCTTAGGATCAGTCCAGCAGAAAATCAAGTACTGGCTTAGAGAAAGAACCATGGAAGGGGTCCGCAGAGGAAGTCTGGCTCTCAAAGCAGAAAAAAGAAGGAGAAGATGATACCTTGTCGATACCATGAAAAGAGACCTTAGAGATTGATCAGAGGTAGGCAGAGAACAAACAAGAGAACACTTTGTTGAGCACCACAAACCTTGCTTTTGATCCTAGGTATCTGTCAGCAAAGGAAGCACAAAAGAAAAAACAAAATCAGTGAAGAGGCATAACAGGAACAACACTATTTCAGAGTCAGTCACCCACCATCAGTTGACCCCCCCAGAAACGAGCAGCTTCAAGTACAAATGAAACAACAGAAATCTCTCCTAGCAAGAAACAAAAAATCGTTGGTACAAAAAACATATTGCATGGCGAAGTGGCGGACCTTGCAAAAGAGCCAGGCCACCCAACCCAATGAATGTGTTAAGCTACAATTTCCCGGGGTTGGGGAATCCCCTGGAAATTAGGAAAGTGGAGCGTTTGCTCCATCGTGAAAATCCCAAAATTGCTTTCTTAGTGGAAACAAAAAAGAAAGAACACGAATGGGAGGCAGTCAAGCAGGAGTAAGGATGGGGAAATGGTAAAGAAATTGGCTCAGTAGGAAGATCAAGTGACTGTTGTTACTATGGAGCTCGGATGTTCAGGTCGTGGTAAAGTTTAAATCTACTAATCACATTGATGCTTGTGTAACTGATGGGACTCTACAGTGGCGTTTTATTGGGATCGATGGTTGCCCAGAGCAGGAAAATAAACATATGACTCGTACTAAGCTTTGACAACTTAAGGAGATGATAGATCTCATGTGGCTAGTCTGAGGGGATTTCAATCTCATTCAAGGATACGAGGAAAAGAATGGACTTAATTTGGCCAATGTGACAAAGATGGATATGTTCAATGAAGCACTTGAAGACTGTGAGCTGGATTTGTTGGGGATATAGCTCGGATCCAGTCGCGCAGGAAAGCCCACCTAGTACTAGAAGTATCCGCGATTAAAGACAAATCCGCAAGCGCCAGAAGCACCAGCCGGCGTCGTTTTGCTTTATTCAAGTCGACGCCGTTTTATAAACCTCCCGCGAGTACCAGAAGTCTCCGCGAGTAAAGGCAAGTCCGCAAGTGCCAGAAGCGCCAGCCGGCGTCATTTAGCTCTAGTCAAGCCAACGTCGTTTGCCCTACTCAAGTCGGCGCCGTTTTGTAAACGTCAGACGATGTCGTTTCGCCTAATTCGAAATGAGAACGGGAAGAACGACGTCGTACCCTCCGAAGGAACGGTCACATCCTAGTCCTAG